ACTACTAGATACAGTGTCTGGACTATTCTCTCTGTCATGGTGGGGCATTTTCTGTGTTTTTTGGTTCACTTTTGCATGAGGTAGGAGATAAGGCTAGCCAAGAGGACAGCAAGTCTCCAGAGATGTCCCTTTTGGCAACCTGACCTTCTCTTGTCAAAGATTCATTTTTCAAGAGTCAATTAAATAGCTTGATTTCATCAAAATGCCTCAGTTAACTGTTACAGTGAATTAATCAACTGTGCAAGTGCTAATTTAGCAGTCTTCTTTAAGTATCGTTTTCTCATCAGCCTGTGTACCATTGGGCCACATCAGAGGAAGAACAATGTTAGCAAAGTATTGGGCCTGGGGGAGTGTTCCCCATTCTGGCATTACCTGCCTCCATTTCCACATCCAGAAGTTTCTTGTCAAGAATATTTAGCACCGTCCAGTATACTCAAGACTCCCAGTGAAAGCTGGCTGTCCAGGATATTGGTGCCTTTTAGAAACTGGGAAGTTTGCAACATTTTATGATCGTGGTCTTCTATATACAAGCAATAAGGCAGCTGGCCATCTTCTGTGGGGGTATCTTTTAGTAGAGGATCAGAGATAACATTGGTCCATTACTTGATGAGGTTGGTCACCTCACAAATAAGAACATAGGCAAAGCAGAGACATTTAATGCCACTTTCACCTCTGTCTTTAACACTGATGATGGGCCCTGGGACTTCCAGAACCCTGTGTTGGAAGACCGTGACTGAGGGGGTGATAAACTCCCAGCCAACCCTGAACTTGTTCAAGACTTGCTGTTCCAGCTGAATGCACGTAAATCTATGGGGCCTGATGGGATTCATCCCAGGGTACTGAAATAGCTGGCCGATGTCATCACGGAACCACTCCATTATTTGTCAGTAGTCTTGGGAGTCTGGAGAGGTCCCAGTCAACTGGTAGCTGGCAAATGATTTCCCAAATAAGAAGCAAGACCCTGGTAATTACAGACCGTTTCAGAAGTCTGACTGAAGTCACCAGACTTCAGTGACTGGTAAAGTTATGGAGAAGGTTATTCTGGGAGTTACTGAAAAACACTTGAGATACAATGGAGTCATTGGTCATAGCCAGCATGGGTTCACAAGGGGAAAGTCCTCCTTAACTAATTTAATTTCCTTTTATGACAAGGTCACCCACATAGCTGATCAGGGGAAGTCACCTGACCGAGGGAAGCCAGCAGATGTGGTGGTTTTGGATTTTATAAAAACTTTTGATACTGTCTCTCTCAGTATCCTTCCGGCAAAATGTCCAGCACACAGCTAGACAAGTCCATAACACATTGGGTGAGCAATTGGCTGATGGATTGGGCACAAAGGGTTATAGGAAATGGGGTTACATCAGGCTGGCAGCCAGTCAGCAGTGGTGTTCCCCAGGGCTCAATCTAGGTCCAGTGCTCTTTAATGTTCTTATAAATGATCTGGGCACAGGAATCGAATATACATTAAGTAAGTTTTCCAATTATACTAAACTAGGAGGAGCTGTGGACTCCCTCAAGGGTAGAGAGGCCTTACAGAGAGATCTGGATAGACTCCAGAGCTGGGTAGTCACCAACTGTATGAAATTTATCAAGAGCAAGTGCTGGATTCTCCACCTGGGATAGGGACAAGAGGCTGGAGACCAGCCCTGTGTAATGAGATCTGGTGGTTTGGGTTGATGAGAAGTTGAATATGAGTCAACAGTGTGCCCTGGCAGCCAAAAGGGCCATCCGTGTCCATCGAGTACAGCATAGCAAAGCTGGTCAAGGGAGGTGATCGTCCCACTCTACACTGCACTGGTGCAGCCCCACCTTGAGTACTGCATGCAGATTTGGGTGCCTCAGTGTAAGAAGGATATCAAACTATTAGAGTGTGTCCAGAGGAAGGTGACCAAGATGTTGAAAGGCCTCAAGGGCAAGACTTATGAGGAGCAGCTGAGGTCACTTGGTTTGTTCAGCTTGGAGAAGAGAAGGCTGAGGGTTGGCCTCATCGCAGTCTACAACTTCCTCAAGGGGAGCAGTGGAGAGGGCGGTGCTGATCTCCTCACGCTGGTAATTAGCAATATGACACGAGGAAATGGAATGAAGCTGCATCAGAGGAAGTTCAGGTTGGACATTAGGAAGAGGTTCTTCTTCACTGAGAGGGTGGTCAGTCACTGGAACAGGCTCCCCGGGGAATTGATCACGACACCAAGCCTGTCAGAGTTCAAGGACCATCTGGACAACGCTCTTTCTTAGTCATATGGTTTAGTTTTAGGTAGTCCTGTGAGGAGCAGAGAGTTGGACTTGACGATTCTTATTGGTCCCTTCCAACTTGAGATATTCTATGATTCTATGAATGGAAAACCCTGAAATGAAAATAAAAATATGACATTTAGATCCTTTAACAATTGCACTTTGGACCTGTAATTTGACATGGACATAGCAGGAGAAGTCTATTACTTGTAATAGCCCAGAATATTTTTTTTACACAGATGCTATATAAAATGGATTTCCCAGACGTTCAATGACCCACTTAGATTTTTTTCACTCTGTTTCACTAAAAATAGCATTTGTCAGAAAACTCTAATACATTGAAATCAAAATGCTGCAGAACTTGTATTAGTTTTGCTAATTTTTTTTGTACACAGTCCTTGCAAGGCCAAGGATGTGGACCTATTTATTCAAGCAGGTCTTGTCTCCAGGGGCACAAACTTTCAGCACTATTGGTGAACACACTTTCTTCTCTCTACTCCCTTTCAGGGGGTCTGGCACAAAACAGAAATGAAGATTAGATTTTCCCAGGGGACAGACATTTCCTTTTCAACAGCTTTTCTCATCTCACAGCATGTAGCCTTTGGACCAGTCAGGGAAATTGCTGAATCAAATCTGGAAGGGTCTTAATGAATTATGTAGGGGCCCAGTGACTGGGAGAGGGTGTCAGACCACTGCAGATATAGACAGAAAGTGGCTGAGTATCATCATTTGGTTAACAGAAGCCCATGCTCAGATCCAGATTAGAAAGGAATCTGGTGGAAGATTTCTGGGATGAGACCAGAATTTCAGAAGATAATCAAGGCGCTGGAGCTTGAAGGAGAAAAGCTGCACTCTTAGCCTTTGCTTCATAATAGGATGGAAGAAAATCCACAGTGCTTCCCTCTCAAGGGGACAGGATCATTCCTATGGTTTTACTATATTACTTTTTCCAAAAGCATGCTGCAGCACTCTTTAAACTCCAACTAGATATGAACAACTTCTTTCCTGCTCTTTACAGCTCAGTAACCCCAGGCTGCAAATCACTTCATGTGGTTCCTCCTATCCCTCAGAGTCTACTAACCTCAATGATGTCCTTGAGCTTCAAACGATTCTTAGTTATCTCTGATTGAAAGCCCTCAGTCCAGGAATCATCAGCAGCACCTCCTTGGAGAAAGGTTTTCCAACAGTAAGTATAGTCTGGAGAAATGGAAGCAAGATGACTAACCTGAGTTTATTCAGACATCAGACAAGCTCAGGAAACAAGACTTTTTAACCTCTTTCTGGTGCCCATGACACAGAGACAGCTTGGCTGTACAGGCCAGCTGATGAATGCTGTCCACTCTGTATTTGGAATCAGTGCTGTTCTCTTTGGGCCTTTTTCTTTCCTGTCTTAACAGTGGAAGGCTACTTCAGCCAGCCTTATCCCAGCAGCTGCATTTAGTCCCCTAGGACAAGGGAGAAGCACCCTATCTTCTATTCCCTCAGGACTGACAGAAAGATAATGTCTCTAAAGAAGGGAGAATTTTCATACAGGTCTGGTTGCTAAGAGTCCTGGCCCCTTCTCCTGCAATATTTGAACATCTTTTTTTGGATGCAACACTCAGTCACTGAATGGGGATGGATGTGGCCCCAAAGAAGTTGGGCAAGACACTGGGCATGGAAGCAAGCCCATACCAGATGCACCCATGTACAAAGTTCACCAGTTCACCCCTTCCCAGTCCCACAAAGCATGGGAAACCTTGCCTTCAATTTCCATGACAGCAATGGTTATGCCCGCCAAGTTCACAAGGTTCTTCAGACCTTGGCGGATTTTTTCATCTTCTTTGTAATAAAGCCGTGCCACATATATAATGATGTTCACATTTGAGTGCTTCTTTAAGAAATTCAGTATTTTATGGCAGCAGTCTGCACAAGGGCTCCAGGACAAGTACCAGGTGATGGAACAATTGACATAATTATTGGATCTTCTCATCTTAAAGATCTTCTCCAGGAAGTAGACTTCAGCATGGTAATGTTCATTTTTGACCCAGTGTATCCAAGGTATGCCAGCCTCACCCCACTGCAGTCTGCATAGTAGGTATGTGTCCCGTGGAGACTTACGGGGGTCAAAGTGATGCTTTAATGACTTCTTAGATATATACATGCTGAAACAGAAAAGAAACTTCAAGGAATCACTGGTTACAACTTCGTTTTCAGTAGTTCTCCAGTACACAAAAAAGGGGGAGGGTGAAGGAAACGAGAGGAGAACTGAGAAGGGAAAAACACGAAAGAGCAATGCAAGGAAAATTAAGAGGTAGGCACCATGGCAGGGTAAAAGAACCAAACCCTGAACCACTTAATCCTCCCGTTGTCTGCAGCTGCATGCAGAACTTCCACCTCCTCACCCCTCCCTATGGCTGTCCTCTTCCTCGTCAGCATGAGTGTTTCTAATAGCTTTCTATACCTTTCTTTGCTTCAGACATTTTTCCGGGTGTCCTATCCCTTTGTGATATAGGGAGCTGTTGCAAATTTTGTAAAAAATAAAAAAATAAAAGAAAGAAAATAAAACCACTGATAAATTAAGAAGCTGAATATTTCTCCTTATTGGATTCTATTGCTGTTTGTATTTTCCTAAGGATTAGCACAGTCAGCAGAATCCTGCATGAGACAAGGAAAAAGAAGTGCTCTGTACAAAAAGATGCAGGTCCCAAAAATGACTTTTTCTGACACATAGCTCACCTCACCTCTTAGATCCAGATCTACTCAGTTCAGAACAGAGCTCTAAATATTGCCAATTAAGTACCTATACAAAGACTGCCAGTACTGGTCATGAATATATCCTTTATATCAGTAATTACCCATGATACATAAATAATATATGAAGTCATCATTAGCACTTTGTAGCCTTTGTACAATTGCTTTATATAGAGATTTATATGAGAATACACTTCAGATAGTTATAAATTTTTCCACACTGGACCAATTCAGAATAAATCTAGTAGAGAACTGGACAGACTTGTAACAGAGAAGCAGTAAGGCTGTAGATTGTTTTCTAGATTAGCACCCACCAATAAAAAAAAAAAAAAACCAACACACTATCTGAACTAAGGACAAATGAAATCTTGCAGATCAAGTAACTGTCACATATCATCTAGCTGCAGGACTCATCATCTATGTAAAAAAGCATCTCATTTATCAGAGTCAGTCAGAAGGCTTTGTCTTCTTACCCTGTCTCCTTCTTCATCCCCCCCCATTAAAATACATATGTATATTAACCAGTTTATAAACCACAGAGTGTATCTCTGTTTATTTTCTCCATGTAAGCTCTGTGTGTACAAACCACAGAAACTATGCATGCAGATTTCTTTATAAGACTTTCTATTGAATTTATGCAAATGTAGCAAATGTAAATGTCAGCAAATGTTTCATTCTGGTACAGGAACACCTTTTTTTATTATACATAATTCCTTTAGTTAAAAAAAACAACAGACAGAGGCAAAAGTGAAGCACAGGCTTAATTTTAATTTTTTTCTCATTTGAGGTGCTAGAAGTGATGCATTTTTTCTATTTCTATTACGTTATTTGGAAGTTTGCCTACTAAATTTAAGCCTATTAGCTTAAATGTCTTTAAAACTTGTTGATTATTAGAGAACAGATTGATATAAAATATATAATGTGTCTGTTATATAAAATATGTGTGTGTGTTATATATAGGGAATATAGTGACAGTGGCTGAAGTTCACCAAAGAAAATATGTTGAACTCCCAATACTCAAGCCCAATTAGTTAATCTAATTCTTACAGAAAGTATCTTTAATGTTTTAGAAAGCAGTATTACAAAAGATTAGAGAGATATGATTTGTTTAAAGGTATCTATCTGTAGTGGTTGCCATCTGATTATAACATACAGAGGAGCTGTTCGCTAAAATTTTCAGATCTTACTTAAACTGGTCTTAAGCACCCTGTTGCCTATGTCTTGACCATAAAATATTGCACTTTGGATAAGCTACTGCAGTGGGTGTCCTGTGCACATTTTCAGGGGCATAAAGCCATTTCTTTAGAACAATCTTGCAATACAGTAATCTTCAAGATATAGCCACCTTAAAGATGTGCTAAGCCAAGTGAAATTTACTGTGTAATCATCTTAATGCAATACAAACAAAAGTCTGCATTCTTATAAATATCTGCTACAGATATAAATTGCTATTTTTTAAATAATTGATTAATGCAAAGTTAAACAGCTCTAATAGAAGGACAGGCAAGAAATTTAAAACACATCATAAAACACTTCCACAATAGAGAATCTATACAAAATCCCAGCACCTATTGCCCTTTCTCCCCAAACCCGATAAGAAAATACTTAAAATAGTTGTCAGTTTACAGATAAAGTGCCCAAAGCCATTAAATCACTAATTTTTGTCATTGTTATAGTTGTCACAAACAGCCCTTGCTGTTCAGCATTGTCACGTACGGTACATGTACACACATGGGGCCTAACTCAAAAAAATCAAGCACTTAGTAGCTGGTTCCTTGATACAATGATGAGGCAAAATTAAGAGTTAGGTTCGTCAATCTCATAAAAGTAAATTTGTAAACTTTTTAGAACTTAAAAGATGGAGAGAAATACGCCAACCGTAAAGACTGAGTATAAAATAACAATATCTAAAAATGTATGAGCATCGATGCGACAAAGCTTCTTTAATCCGCGTTTTTCCTCCATGGCTAGTGCTTTGCACGGACAATGCTCTTCTTTATTGAACTTTGCATTAGAACTCTTTTTTCCCCCTCTATTGGACAGAAAATGTCCGGTCTGACACTTCCTGTTTATTCCGCGGCACAACAGCCGTTTCAAGACCTCGAAACAGTCGAGCAGGGAAGAGGCACTTGCGGATTCTCTTGCTGCCCAGCGCTGGAGCGGGCCAGCCCCCGCCTTACCCCGTCCCCAACCCACCCCCATCTTTCACTCATTTTTATCGGCGCCTTTTCTCCCCTGACATTTTACGGCTCCCGTGACAGTTTTATGCCGACAGGAACTTCCACAACAGGCTCCGACTTCGGTGCGGGCCCTGGCAGCTGCAGCAGGGACCAGGGCTCCGACCCGCCCGCGCTGGCACCAGCGTCGCCCTCGCCCTTCCCCGAGCACAGGCGGACAGCACACCCCCGGGCGACAAAGCGGGGGGTCCCCTTGGTTTGGCGCAACGACAACACAGAGCTGAAGCCAGGTGGGGTTTTTTTGGTAAGAAGCGGGGGGGGGGGTTTACCCTCTCAGCTTTTTCTTGTACATGGCTTCTCCTCTCCCCGTGAACCCTCCTTTGGTGCTGTCCTCCTTTCTGTTTCTGTTCCTGCAGCCCCGGGGCTCCGCGCGTGGCCGAGGGCAGAACACACCCAGGTTCTGCTGGCACGGGTGATGTAAGAGGAAAGGGAAAAAAATTGTTTGACCGCGGTTGCTACCAGATAATGACACGTCTTTACAAGCCTGCCCTTAGCAGGATTCTTTCCGCACCCCTTAGCAAGGTGAGCGAGGGCTGGTGCATGTTTCCAGTTAAAAACGTAATAATTGGACAATCTCTTTGAAGCCTGCTTGTGAGTTTGAAAGGGATGATAACGCTTTGTTGGCAGAAAAATTAGATTTATTCTTCTGTGCTGGAAACTACTGCCGGCGGTGCAGCTGTTCTGTGTGGCACGCAGGCCTCTCCTCCGAAGCACCTGAAGTTCTGTGGAAAGCATGGTGGTTCAGACTCACATGTCACAAGATGTTTGCGTGCTGTCACAGCTTTGCCAAGGATGAAGTGCTCACAAATACCTCTCACTCACAAGGTATCAGCAAAGCTTACTCACCTTCACTGCCAAATCCAGAAGGTCAAGAGGAAGGTCTCTTCCTTCCTGTGGAGGAAGAGAGGGGAACATGTATTGGGAGCCTTACAGAAGACATGTCATTTTAGGAGTTGGTGATCTCAAACAGGCCATGTCTGCTGTCTTGAGTCTTGTGCTTAGGGACTAAGAAGCCCGTACGTTACTAAAGTAGGAGGTAATTTATATACACAGGTCTGTGCTACGCCACGCTGCATGTGCAGCATGGCCTTCAGGCTGTGCCATGCTGCACAAACCCCTTGGCTGCAGGATAAACTTATCTGGCGGAGTGTAACAGAGGAGCCTGCAGACAGCTCCCGCTTGGCACCAGCGACTGCACCACCAGCCTGGCCCTGCCTTTATCTACACATGCAGCAGGAAGTTCAACATCCTTTAGGAACAAAATTGTGTTCCTGTAAGAAAATATGTAATAGTTCAGATGACCAAAAAAGAGGAGCTTCCCTTCACAGACAGGATCAGCACAGTATGCCGTGGTAAAATCTATCCAGGGTCTGTCCAATGCTGTGCAAACGAAGGGTGCCCAGGATCTCAAGAGGTTTTAGATTTACTCGCTGTCTATATTCCTCTTTTTACTCTGTCTTATTAAAACAGCTGTTTTATTTCGCCATTTGTTGTCAGGCCTTTCTTACTGAGATCTGGTAAGCACCCTGCATCATCTCCCTTGCACATAAGGGATGCTAGCCAGGCCACTGAGATGCACATATCTTGATGCTGGTGAGTATACGGATATGTGCTGGTTTTGGCTGGG